AAATATATGTTTTTTTAATAGTTAGATTGCTATTATAGGTGACGGGAAAGATATTCCTTTTATAAATATAAAGAAAAGGGAACACAGTAATCTTCGTATTTCATTAACATAAATCTTAGTGGGCGGAGTCATTGTAGTTAGAGGAGGGGCCAATGATAAATGGGCGTGGCCATCTAGCTGAGAATTCATTCTGATTGGTCACATAACCCTAGAGTAATAGGAATCTGTTGCGCATATTATTTTAATAAATTATCAGTAATAAAATAAATATGCATTTGTCATATTTATATTTAGCATTTTTGGATTTATTAGCATTGGTAAGTTTTGAAATTTTTGGGGTATTAATGTTTATAATGATATAAATCATCAAAAATTAGCTCTGCAGACCTTACTGCAATGATAAAAAATTAGATGAGAGAGCTTGGTTCATCAGAAGTAAAAACTTTCAACATTTTTTAGACAAATTCTATTTTCCAAAAATATATGTACAGTTAAACCTGTCTATAGCGCCCGATTTTAAATACGTAGTACGATGCGATTTACAATAAAAGTGACCAGTCTATGGCACTCTATATTTGGTGAGTCCCAAGAGGGGGCGCTATAGACAGGTTTAACTGTATATATGGAAAAATGAAATTCTAGAATATATTTTTTCCCGTTTTTTTTCTGAATCTTTTTCTGTGTTTAGGTCCCGCTGACTATCAAGCACCTTCAGGGTTATATGAAGACAATCTTCGCAAACAGCATCTGCACTTCACCCATGCTGTGGCCTTTGAGAAGACATATCCGCCCACGGTATCTCGCAAGCCACCGATGGCTAATCCTGGCCCCGCCTCCTATGATGTCAAGCTGGTAAAGTGGTTAACAACATCTTAACCTCTATACACTGCAAACTAAATTTGCATATGTGTGTTTCAGGAGCAGGAATGTAAAAACGAATTTGGACGAACCTCTCAGCCAGCCTTCGCCTCTCAAACCAAAAGGATGATGATAAATACAGTAATATTTCTAAAAAATAATAAATAAATAATTTTAAATAATTGAGAAATAATAATTAAAAAACAGAATAGTTCTAGTTAGAGTTTAGAGTAACTATCACACGGGTTATAATACATTATTCTTGTCTTTGAATGTTAATCTTGTCGTTTGGTGTATCTAAATAAGCCTAGGGTGTGGATTGCTCTATTTTCAAAACGATATCCCAATATTTTATCCCTACAACAGTCTATCCCTATATCCTTTATCCCTACAACAGTCTATCCCTATATCCCTACAACAGTCTATCCCTATATCCCTACAACAGTCAATCCCTATATCCCTACAACAGTCTATCCCTATAACGTGACAGCTCCCTACGCCATCCCCCGCTGCCTACTGCTGGGAGATGGCCAAGGACTCCATCCAGAACCGCAGCGACTTCTTCTGTCCCTCTGAAAGCCGCAGACAACAAGTGGCGTTCAACGGTTCCTCGGCTCGCCATACACCTCCCTACAACCCTGAAGGTTACAGCACTCTGGCAGGTACTGTAAATGCCAGCTGTTTAACCGAGGTGTGATTTACACTCATGGAGACAAACTTAAGGAAGTCTTACCTCTTATCATGTATATATCGGTATTGTGACAATAACTCTGAAAGATATTACAGTGACCTTTATTGAAGACACACGAGATAACCAATATATACTCATGGACAAAACTTAAGGAAGTTGTACCTTTTAGCATGTATATCGGGATTATAACTCTGAAAGATATTACAGTGAACTTTATTGAAGACACACGAGATAACCAATATACACTCATGGACAAAACTTAAGGAAGTTGTACCTTTTAGCATGTATATCGGGATTGTGACAATAACTCTGAAAGATATTATAGTGATCTTTATTGTGAAGACACACGATATACCCAATATGCACTCATGGACAAAACTTAAGGAAGTTGTACCTTTTAGCATGTATATCAGGACAATAACTCTGAAAGATATTACAGTGAACTTTATTGAAGACACACGAAATAACCAATATACACTCATGGACAAAATTTAAGGAAGTCTTACCTCTTATCATGTATATCGGGATTGTGACAATAACTCTGAAAGATATTATAGTGATCTTTATTGTGAAGACACACTAGATAACCAAGTGTGAACAAAATTGCCTCTGTCTCCTTCAAAAAAAAAAAAAAACGACCGGCGATATCAAATACTTTACATTTCCTTAAGTTTTGTCCATGAGTGTAGTGTGAAAGATAAAAGTGCGTAAGTGGGAAATTTATCATTTTTATTCTGAGACCGTTTCACGAGCTTTCAAACCTTACAGTCCTTCGTCTAGTGTGTAAATGGCATAGAAGGCTGACACAAAGATGGTCTTATCTACATAACTGCCCCTTTGTGTTTTGAAATATATACAACAGAATCAACAATATGTAAATAGGGTCCTAGAGATTATATGCAACACATAGTCGCAGTATGTAGATAGGATCGAACTCCACCTTTGACAGTCCCAAGCCCGGATGAAAAAGGAGGAGGGGGAGCAATAACAAGCTCGCTGAAAAACCTGGGCTCAGCTGGCCCGGCTGATAGTACCCCGTAAGGGCTCCTAATCTAGGGATACAGTATGAACAGCGTTTGTACTCCATGTTAGAAGCGGCTGCACATGGCATCTGTTCCTCATGTCAGAGGCGGCCATTTCTTTTGGAGCTAAGTCGGCCTGCCACTGAGTAGTGCTCCCAGTCTTAATGACAAAGGCAGACGCATTCTACTTCACCCATTCATGATCTCAAGCTTTATAAGCTTGATACCCTAATATGATTGAGTGAAGATAAGAAAGAAGAAGAAGATAGGATCGTCTTTTTGTCAGCGTTCTTTGCCATATCCACACCAGTCGACGTACTGTGAGGTTTGAAATCATTGTGTGGTGTCTTATAATAACTTTCTCGCCTTCGCAATTTTGTATTGTAACATTCGAGCTAACAAAGCCATTTATATTCTAGTGCCATATATACTATTATTTTATTTATATACAGTTAAACCTGTCTATAGCGCCCCCTCTAAATAGCGTCTTCCTCTCTATATCACCCAATTTTAAACATTAAAATGTAAACATTTTACATTAAAAGTGACCTGTCTATAGTACCCCCTCTCTATAGCACTCTATTTTGGTGAGTCCCAAGAGGGGGCGCTATAGACAGGTTTAACTGTATATATGCTTTGCATACATATTTTGGGCCTGTATAATCTCATATGGAATATGTTCAACAAAGACTTGCAGTCTATTCTAACAGAATTGTGTCAACCTCGGCCTACAATGTTCCAGGCCCTGGTCGGTACAATCTGAAGGGTTCACTAGACCGTGGACCTACCATACCACGTGCAAGGGACTCGGAAGAATTGGAGTGTATTCCTGGACCCGCGGACTACCAGGTCCGTTCTATATATCTATATATATAAAAAATCAATGTTTGTATGTTTGTTTGTTTGTATGTCTGGTATACAAATTCGCAGTAGTTCACTAATTCAAACCAAAATTTCCATACATAGGTAAAAAAAAAATACGGGGAAGACGATAGGCTATTTTAAAAATATATATAAATCAATTATTAAAACTATATATTCAAATTATTCTACTTAGCTCACGAACAGCGCCCTCTATCAACGATTAAATTATGCTGATTCAAACAAATAGATAATGCTAATAACAAACAATTATATAAAAAAAATCTTTTCTAAATATATATCACTCGGGTAGATATGCACACGGGTCAATCCCGGGGCGAAGCCCGGGTCACCCGTCTAGTCTCTAATATAAACTGTCTCTCTACCTATCCCAACTACACATGGCAGTATGAACCGATGTGCTGAAGGAACAAAGTTATCCAATTATTGAATGGGGAAATAAAATGATGGATCCGAATCATGCATTAGCGCGCCATCTGTTATGAGAAATATAAACACACACACACAAAAGCCTTTATTAAGACACACAGGTCTTACAGAGGATTCTCCTTGGGGTTACAAAACGGAGAAACCTATGAAAGTGGGAAATAAAAAAATAGAGAAAGATTATATACATTTGGTAAATATATACAGATTATAAGAAAGAATAAAAAAATAAGAAGAATAAAAAAATCAAAAAAAAAAAAAAAGTTTTGGAAATATGGATGGGAGAAGTGGAGAGCGAAAAGAGGAAAGAAAACAGGTATTTACATATGGAACAAGACAATTTAAGCTCTTCTGCTCACACAGCACAGGTGGGCCATGTATTTTTTAAGAAATCTTTAAGAGATTTCCCAGGAAAACCCGCGTGTTCAGGGTTGTAAGGTAAACACCGTTTTATCAGTGTGGGGGTTAACTTATCGTATCTGCCTAAACAAATAATTGGATGTTGGTTCTGTCCTTCTCATCAAATAGAATTTTTTGGTATGTTTGGATGTTCGGTTAAGTCTTTCTTTTTTACAGCATTTTTATGGAAGTTATATAGATTTAGAGCTACTGAACTATTGTCTATAAAGTTGGATAATAAAGAATATAATGTGAAGTGTGTATGGCCTATCTTAGAGAAGAGTATTTTAGAAATATAAACTATTTTTGACGCGTAGGTTTCTTTTTAAAATAAAACAATTTTCTACTGCCCTTACTGCAATGATTAAACCGGCGAAACCGCTGAGAGAGTTCACTACTGATGAGCCAGGCCCTCTCATTAATTTATCATTGTAGTAAGGGTTGTAGAAAATTTTAAAAATGAATCATACAGAGTGCAAGTAACCAAACGAGGCTCTGGCATATCTGTAAGTGCAACTGCTTTTCGCGTGTGTAGACATGTGGTACACTTACAGTAAAAGTAGTCGCCTACTTCTACCCACCATGATTATCACTACCACGTGTACTAGGAATAAGCAAAATATATATATATATATATTATCATGGCCTGTACCATATTTACGTGGAATAGGTAACATGTTTGATGGTCCATGGTGCAGCTCAATCCGTACTACATGCACACGTGTATCCTACGGACCCACAATCTGGACTTATGCCGGGCCGCCATGAGACGTATCAGGACCTGGACACGTCGCGGTATGGTGGCCCCCAGTGGTGTCCAGCGGGCCTTGGATGGGGAGAGGTTTCTGGATTGTATCAGGATCAAGAAATGCCAGCCATGTCATCGCTATGACCTTGGTATGTGTGATGGGCTATTCTTTTATATATCAAATACACCTATCCCCCGATTTACACGTTTTTCTCAGGAACGTATCTACCGTGTAAATCGGGGGATAGGTGTACTTTTTTAAATTATTATTATTATTTTTTAATTTTATAAAATTCTATGGTTAATTTAGGGGAGATACTAAAAAGTATCTCTTCAAAAACCCTAATAGTTATACCTGTTGTAATTTTATTATCAATTAAATTTTAAAATGCGCTTGAAATGACTAATTTTACATTTTAAATAATTATTAATAAAGTAATAAGTTTATTTTGGGATTAAATATATATTTCAAAAATAGCTTTAGTTAATTTTTGTTTTAAGGGGTTAAATAGTTTAAAATATCGTTCATAGATGGCGGTAGAGGTCTTGACCCAATCAAATACAAGACTATAATTTATGAAACAAACACAAATCACTGAATATGCATTTTTGAAAATGCTTTATATCGTAAAATATATATATTTAAAATACAAAGATATTATTTATTGTAAATGTTAAAAAAAAAAAACATTATTTAACAATAAAATATAAATAGTTAAAAATAATCTCACTAGATGGCGTTGTAGAAGGTTTAGTCTTTAAATTAAATTTTGAAGTAGTTTTATTATATAAACGTTATTATTTTAAATATATTAGCAAATTTTTTAAAATATTAATTTATTTTATATATTTATTTTTAAACTATCTTCTCAATCTCTTTAACTACCCTTTTGATAATATTTCTAAATGGAATGAATTGAAAAAAATCGTTTCGATTCTTCGTGCCTTAAACTAATGAGTAAGGAAAATAACGAGCCTTGGTAACGCTAGGCTCTCACAAAAACTTTTTGTGATTTATTTTTGGAGAGGCACAGGTCTTCCTAAGGTTGCCGGCCTACTTTCGCTGGTGACCTTGGTGGCGGGAACTGCCTCCAATAAATAACTAAAAAAAGAAAACCTTAATAACCACCTATCAAGTAATAATAATAAAAAAAAAAAAAAACTATACAAAAATTCTGAAATATTGATAATTAAATACAAGAAAAAAAATATATATATTTTTCTCCGCCAGGTGGCCAAAGGGAAAGGTTGCGTGAAACGACAGCTCCTGCTAGGTAATTTATTTTTAAAGCTTTTTCGCCGTACTTTATAAAAAAGAGCTATTTTTTTATTGAGGTGATATTGGTAAATTTATATCTTCATAATATGAGGCCAATTGTAATTCTTATCATAATTTATTTAAATTTACAGCGAAACAAGCCTCGCTCAACTTTTATCTATGCAAATTTTGATTCGTGTGAAAATTGTGCAAATTATAGTTTGGCAGTGGATCTGGGTTATGTTGAGAATCTGAAATTCAAGATTCAGATTCAGTACAGAAGGCCAAAGCTTAGATGTATAATTTTGATGTTATTACTGATATCTGGCATAGAGCAAAACCCGGGACCTAGGCCCACTAGGCAAACTACGCTCGAGTCATGTAAGGAAGGTGATATTCGACAATTGATTGGTGCAATCTCAAATAAAATGGATAACTGGGGGGATAAACTGATATCTGGCATAGAGCAAAACCCGGGACCTAGGCCCACTAGGCAAACTACGCTCGAGTCATGTATGGAAGGTGATATTCGACAATTGATTGGTGCAATCTCAAATAAAATGGATAACTGGGGGGATAAATTAGAGACAAGATTACTTTCTATAGAGCAAGGAGTTGATAAATTAAATCGACGTATACAACAACTGGAGAATACTATGGAAAACACGGTAAAATCTGTCTCGAAGAATTCTGAAAGGATCCAAGAAATTGAGAAAAGAATAGATTTCACGGAAATGAAAATGAGAGAAAGTAATTTAATTTTTTACGGAGTCGAAAAGAAAGAAAATGAAACAAGCGATGAATCTCTCGCAAAAATAAAACAGATAATTACGGACAATATGCAAATCTCCGAGAATATTAACATCCTTAAATGTCATCGATTATCTAAAAGGCCGAGCGCACCCCTACTGGTTGAAATACCCAAATATGAAGACAGAATAAAACTATTTAGGAATGCATTCAAGCTTAAGCAATTAAGGATTTACATAAATAAGGATTACACCTTAAAAGTTAGAGAACAGCGTCGACTGTTGATTAATAAGAGAAAAGAACTTTTGGCTAAAGGAATCTCATCTAGACTTCGAGATAGCAAGTTGATTGTGGGAAGTACTGTTTACCAAGTTATAAATGATAAGATCATGAGTTCAGAAGGAACTGAGATATAGCAAACACTCAGAAAGGAACTGGAAGGATCACATCATATCTCTTTTTACAGGCAAGAAAAGATCACCATCAATCACATATAGCTAATAGGAATGGAAAACTAAACTACTCGATTTAACAACTATTAAAACTTGGTCACAATTATGTAAATATTATGTATTGGAATTTTTCCAATTTATACGTTTTCCCTTTCATTAATTATTTAAAACAATCTGAAATATTTGCTATAACGGAAACTTAGTGCCAATTTTATCTAAAACTCGAGATCGAGAATTTCCAGGTTTACCAATCACTTGCCAGAAAAATCTCGGGTCAGGGAAGAAGCTCTGAAGACATCATTGTGGGAATTTATATCAAAAATAAACACATACTGGACAATGTTGAAGAGAAAACTAATTGGATTTCGGTTACTTAAAATGAACCCAAGCATAGATTCATTGCTGACTTGTATAACCTTCACGTATCTACCTCCTAACGAACTCCAACTAGAGAATATATATATCACCATTATATTCTTTATTATCCAACTTTATAGACAATAGTTCAGTAGCTCTAAATCTATATAACTTCCATAAAAATGCTGTAAAAAAGAAAGACTTAACCGAACATTCAAACATACCAAAAATTTCTGTTTGATGAGAAAGACAGAACCAACATCCAATTATTTGTTTAGGCAGATACGATAAGTTAACAATGATAAAACGGTGTTTACCCTACAACCCTGAACACGAGGATTTCCTGTGAAATCTCTTAAAGATTTCTTAAAAAATACATAGCCCACCTGTGCTGTGTGAGAGCTTAAATGGTCTTGTTTCATATGTAAATACCTGTTTTCTTTCCTCTTTTCGCTCTCCACTTCTCCCATCCATATTTCCAAATTTTTTTATTTTTTTTTCTCTTTTTTTGATTTTTTTTTTATTCTTCTTATTTTTTATTCTTTCTTATAATCTTTATATATTTACCAAATGTATATAATCTTTCCCCATTTTTTATTTCCCACTTTCATAGGTTTCTCCGTTTTGTAACCCCAAGGAGAATCCTCTGTAAGACCTGTGTGTCTTAATAAAGGCTTTTGTGTGTGTGTGTGTGTACAAGAAAATAAGACCTAATCCAAATAATTTATTAGTGTGTGACGTTTCGGTAACAGCATTGTAACCATCATCAAACAAAAGAATAAATGAGAAAAAAAATAGCACAACAAGTTCTTAAATAGTACTGTTATCAAGTTTTTAAACAAGATAACATATTTTGGATTAGGTCTTATTTTCTTGTATTATAATCCAAATTGTGCTTTATTATTGAACTAGCCGAATGACCCGGGCAACGCCCGTGTTTTACCCGATTGAATGTTTTGATTCAAATACTATTTGTTACAATTATAAATTGGCGCCTTAATTAATTGCATATGTTAGTTAATAACTATAGCCTATGTGCTTTATCTGTCTATGTACTGTTGGCTTCCGTAGGCGTCTCTTACTGGGAAAGAGAAAGAGAGGATTCCATTTGGTTATTATCTGATATATGCATTTATTTAGGGAGCGACCCGCTCCAACACAATAGTTAAATGGCGAGTGGGGGGGGCAAAGGTGGCGTGACCGTAGCCAACCAATAGGAGGGCGCCATTCCAAAAAAAAAGCAAACGGTGACAGAGTTGGTTGATTGATTAGGAGATGAGGAATGACGCTCGTAACTGTATGCTTTATTATTGAATAATTAAAATTCAACGATAATTTGATAATTACTCCGATAGATGGCGCAATCCTACTTTTAGCAACATGATCAGGAGATGTAGCTTCTACCAATATTTATAAATATAATTGCTATCTTTATATATCGATTAAATGTTTAACAATAATTTTTGGCAATGTGTTTCTTTTCACATAAATCACACACACAAAAACCTTTATTAAGACCCACAGGTCTTACAGAGGATTCTCCTTGGGGTTATACAAGACGGAGAAACTTATGAAAGTAGGAAATATACAAAGGGATAAAAATGTAGAAAGATTATATACACATGATAAATATATACAGATTATTATTTGAATAATCTTATGGAAAATAAGAATATGGATTTGGAAAAAAAAAATTTTTTTGGAAATATGGATGGGAGAAGTGGAGAGCGAAAAGAGGGAAAAAAAACAGGTATTTACATATGGAACATACATATAATGAAACAGTCAATTTAAGCTCTTCTGCTCACACAGCACAGGTGGACCATGGCTTTTTAAAAAAAAATCTTTAAGAGATTTTCCAGGAAAATTCGAGTGTTCAGAGTTGTAATTTTCACATAAATCATAAAGTATCTCTACAGACCTTACTGCAATGATAAAAGTTATTGAATGAGAGGGCTTGGTTCATTAGTTGTGAACCCTCTCAGCGTTTTCACCAAATTATACCAATATTCCTATTGGCTTCTAAGTACCAACCTTTATCAACAACATGTATAATTATTTAATTAAAAATACTTATATTGGATCAAAATATCATTTACTTTACCAATATTTCAGTTGGCTGAACGCCAATCTTTATCAAGGTACTAGCCGAATGACCTGGGCAACGCCCAGGTTTTACCCGATTAAATGTTTTTATTCAAATACTATTCGTTACAATTATAAATTGGCACCGTGGATGTCACTCTTGTGAAACGTCCCGCTCCAAACTTTGTGTCTGAGAAGCGATATTTTTATAAAGAGATGATCTGGCTTTGTGTCTTCTGCTCGAATGAATGTTTTTCTGTTAGAATTTTGTTCCTGCACACTAAAAATGAACTGGCTTCACCCGTGGTCTCAGCTTTTTGGAATTTTTCCCGATATAATTTTGTATCTGATAATCAAACATGATACAGCAATATTGTCATCATCATTTTCTGACTAAAAAAACAACTATTTTTGCCCAGAACCTGTCAATTTTATTTTTTATTGGCTAAAAATCCGATACATATCTTTCCCAGATTTTTCTCTATGTCCTGTCAAAACACGTTTTACATGTACATTAGGTCAGCTGATATTACCTCCCATCTTCACCGCTAGAGGCGCTGCTTGCGAGCGAAAAGGCAAATTTGCAACGCAATTTGCAAATAACTCGAATAATATTCGGGATAGAGACCTGTAATTTTCACTATAAGTTTTTCCAGATTCTACTCTATACACTGTTAAAATTTCAGTCAGATTAGTTACGTATTGTGGACGTGTATAGCCGACATAGATACCCACATACATACATACACTGACTTTTATATATATAGGGATTACAACATTTTAATGTCTGGCGTTCAGCCAACTGAAATATTGGTAAAAATAAATAATATTTTGATCCAATATATCCTAAAATGATTAAAAAACACGAATTATTGAAAAATGGGAATTAACGAGGTGTAGATATTATATTGTACATAGTAAAAAATAATTCCAGAGATAACATTTTTTAAAAGATATTTACTGTCATTTCAGTACCCCTATAGAAGGAAGGTAAATGCTCGAAAATTTAAGCTTGCTTTAAAAAACGAACTCATCTCCAGTAACTATGTCGTCTTATTTAATTAAAAGCTATTTTAAAATTATCAGTCTATAGAAAAAACAACATAGTCTTTAATGAAAAAACAATAGAAAAAATAAAATAAAAAGATCAAGTGTTGATATTAAAAACAAAGTAGGCATATCCTGACCAGGAGCACATATGCTTTTTAGATGGCAGAGCGCCATCTAGTGGA